ACTCCATCCCCATGAGCTCCGGCAGCCTCGGGATGGGCTCACCTCGGTGGGGAGAAAGCTCCTGCGTTCCAAATTCCCCTCCGTGTCTGTGAGGGGAGGAGGAAGCAGAGCCGAGGTTTGGGGAGCAGAAGCACAGTTTGTGTTCCTGCTTTCTGGCAACGTTTCTGGTATATTTACAAGAGATTCCCTCTTCTTCTATGCCTTCCAGCTGCCGACCCCAAAAGGCCAGTTCTAACCTAATTTGAAACGGGGTCTGAGAGAAGCAGTAGAGTGGCATTTACTAGCTGGTGCAGTGATGTCTGTACCCTGCTAGGGATCATTTTCCTTTTAGAATGTCACTGATGGAAGGAAGGACACAAGCTCCCTCTCCAGAAGTTACTGAGGTGTTCATGTGTGAGTCCTAAAGCCACACTTCACCCAGCCTCCTGCTCATCTTCAGCCTGCTGAAATATGTTGGGTAACAAAGTGTATTTCAGTAATAGAACCTTGTTTTCAAACCCACAGAGGATTTACTCTAGTGTTTTACTGTTTCTCTTCACTGGCATAAAGATACTGTGCAGGTAGGGTCAATGGGGCATCTTGTTTTTTTCCTTGTAATTCACTTCAGGCCTTCCAGGGAATTGCTAAGTAACTCTGAGTAATTAAAAAAGTCATTCTCATTTATTTTCTGGCATGGACACTGGGCAGAATGTGTGACATCATTACCAATCCATGGCAACAAGCTATCGTGAACCAGTAGGGCTTCAGCAGTAGGAATCAGTTAAAAGGAACATTTTCCTTGAGAGAGAGTGTTTAAATAAACACAGTAATCATCAACACTACAGACCACATTTTGCTCTGCAAAACTACTGGAAGGTGTGTATGGCTGGGAATATAATAGTCTCGATATTTAGGAATACACTGTTAAGCAGCCACAGCATCATTTTAAGCTCTTGCCATCTACTTCTCACATCTCCAAGTTGCATCTGTAATCTGCGAAAATGCCTCTGTAGTTCCATAAGCCAGGCAGCTGCTACCTCCTTGTAATTGCAATGTTTGGGTGATACAAAGTTAATGAAGCAAAGTGAAATGTTTTGTTAGACTAACTAATGCAGCAAGGCAAAATGAGCAGGCCTCGGGGCACCACTCTTAACTAGGATCCCAAGCTTGTCTCTTTTTTTCCCAGCTATATTTGCAGAGTTGCTTGAAAGTTTAAATTAGCCCCACAAACACCATGTCTTAGAGGTTTTATCAGTTGTCTTCTCATAAATCTGAACCAGAGGCACTCATACACCTGAATCATCACTCCCCTGCAATGATCTGCCACTGTCATCTCCCAATTAAATCCAAGGGAAAGCAAAGGGTATAGAACTGCAGGAACATTTAACCCCATTGGGTACAAGCTGTTAATCAGGCATGAGATGCTTATCAGTGATGCTCTGTGTCTTGGAGAGGTTTTGTTCTAATCTTGGGGCCCACAAAGTTTGTACATGTGCTCATTTTTAGAAACATTATTAAATAATATATTTTAGCCATCAAGATGTATGACGTCCTTGTAGACTCTGCCTCGACTAACTTCACAGCAAACCTAAGTAAGAACCTACTAAGCCCGGATCCTTTTTTGACCAGACTGATGGCAAACATGTCAAGAGCAAATCAACTCTACATAAAGGTTTCATTTCCACATCACCATAATTTTTTTAGGCATTCATTCCCATGCTAGGGAACAAATAATTCCTGTAAAGTCAGAAAACCAAAAACACAGTTAACAAAACAATTTCATGTATTCATAGGGAAATGTTCATAATGAAAGGAAAAAGCCAGTAGTGAAAATTAGTTTCTTTAGAAACTCAGTTTCAATTTCCTGAGGTCTTTGAATGTTAAATTAGGATCTTTAGCATTAAAGATTTACATTTTTAATCTAGTCTTAGCTCTATGGAGAAGGAACACTTTGCTTTGCATAGACAAGGTGTTGGCTGCATCTGCCAAAATCAATCTGCTGCTCAGAATAAGAAATTCAGACTATACTCTCAAAGTTGCAGTCAGTTATTAGTCCACAGAGTGTGATGCAGCAAAATTATCAGTCTCTTCCGGCCTGAGAATGGCAAAGTTTGTGTAACTAACTTTTACCCTCTCTGCTCTGCTTGAGTTGCCTGGGTGCTGGAGGATTCAGAGGGCATTGTGCTCTGGGAATCACCAGCTTTGCTTCCCAGGACTTTTCCTGGGTAAAATTCATCTCTAGGGCAGTTCCTTCTCAGCTGTTCTGAACCTGTGCTGTTCAGGTGCAGCAGAACCTCATAGAATTCCTCAACTTTCCCCAATGTGTGTTTATTTCATAGCCTCTGCCCTGACTGTATTTGTGAGGAGGTGCTGCATTACTAGAAGTAGATTATTTGTAAACTGAAGAAAGGAGGGATTCCCACAATGTTTACCCACCTGACTGTAGGAAAACCAGTCAGTGCAAGTGTGCCAAAAACTATAATTAATTGCTGCCATGGCAACAAGCACAATGAACACACCTAATTTCATTCACAATCCTTTTCCAGGAAATATCACATTTTTTCTCCTGTTTATGTTGTTGTTGTTATTTGTGTTGAATGAAGAATTAAATTCAAATGCAGTTTTACCATTCAGCCTTCCAGTAAAGCTAATGGGATGCTGGAGTTTATTGTTCTTTTAAACTTACCACAACTACTTCCCCTGTGGCTCAAAAGAGAAAAGCTGTTAGACAATACACATTATTACAATCTTCAGATTCACTGCACTTGGAAATTAGTAACTATTGCTGGTTGATCTGAGGTTTGGCTATTCCTTCTCAGATTTAATATTTTCATCATGCACTTGTACACATCCAGTTTTGAAGAGTCACAACCTGCAATGAATTTTAAAAAGACTGACTAGTCACAGTTCATCTCTGATGAGAGACTACAAGACACAATGTCCTGACTCTTACTCGTTATTACCTGATCTGCCAAAAAACCCCATGAAGTGTCAGCACATGACACTGAATTCAAAGGGGGATTGCAGGAGGGACATACCTGAAGCAATCAGCACAGCCAGCTCTTTGGTACTTGATCAATGGATGAAACTGGCCCAATTCATCATTTCAAACAAGCAATTAAACCTTGGTA